TTTCGCACTTACGTGCGAGCGGTTTCCACGCTGCACACCCTTAGCGTGACGGCAGCATGCCATTTTGAAGAAACTTCCTGGTTATTCGAAGCAATGTTCGTCAGGAGCACTATTTCTCAGCTGAACGTCACGAACTTCGTATTACAAATACGGGAGATCAAGCTAATCTCCACGCTTCTCATTGAGAACGGTACCCTGAAAAGCTTGAACTTCATCAAATGTTCCTACATCGGGACACACGACGTCGCCGATTCTTGCGTTGAGCAGACACAGAACTTCGGCAACGTGTCCAGACGTATTCATCCCTGGATCGTGGCCCTCACCGAAAACAGGACTCTGGAGGAACTCACGCTCAGCCTGTCATGGTACGACGTGGAGGACTGGCGGTCGTTCTTCAAGGCTCTCGCGTCTAACGCATCCCTCAAGAAGATCAACGTCTGCCCACGGTGCCCACCGATGGACGCAGCCGAGATCTTCCGGGCCATGCGCCAAACCGGCGTGCAGGGGCGCTTCGTCGGTGTGCTCGACGTGTTCGATGACGCCGCATTTGCGAAGACTGAGTGGAGCGAAGTGTGCAGTCTTAGGATCAACTCGACCACTTTCGACACATTTGAAACGCTACCCGGAGCCGCTTATTCCCATTTTCAGTCGTGCACTCAGCTGACGTCGCTTTGCATTGTGTCGGAGGAAGAAATTTCCAACCTCACGGTGAGCTCCCTTATTTCGCATTGTTTGACGGATGCAATGGCGCTCAGGGAACTTGAAGTCATCGCTCACGTTACCTTTCCGCGATGGTACGCTGACCGGCTGATTCATAAAGCGCTGGTGGAAGGAATATCGACCAACAATACCTTACATTCCATTTCCATCCGTGGCCTGAGCTTTGATGAGACCGAAATGCAGAAGCTTGGAGACACGCTGAGCTTGAGCCGGACACTGTGCAAGTTCTGCTTCTTCCCACGCTACTACAACCCGCCTCTGGCGTTACTGCGGCCGATGGCGCCGGTCATATCCGGCAACTACACACTCCTGGATTTGCAGCTGAAAGACTGCAAAGACAGTAGTGACTTTCCCACTGTGGTGAAGGTGGTGAGCCGTAACAACTCGTTGGTGATGCGCGCGTTGCACTTCGTCCAGGGTACGCACCTGAAGTACTGCGCGACGGCTCTCGAAAAGGTGCATTCCACGCCTGGGCTAGTAGCGAGGGTGCAGAGCTCCGCATCTGTCGACGAAAAGGAGGCCGCGCGGGTCATCAGGAAAAGCCTCAACAGCCTACTCGAACTGGATAACTTCATGCGCGTGGCGGGAGTCGTCAAGGGTTCTGTGACTTGCCATCCGCGCGATGACGGTAAGATGCAACTCTCGGACCTAAACCGAGACTCCTGGTTGTGCATAAGGAAGTTCCTGAAAGTCAGCGACATCCTGCCGGTAGAGTAAGAGCTGCATTTGTTTGACACCATGAGCCGTCGTAGCGCGGCTTCTTTGATATTTTGCCTCCATGTTGGGATTTTTGTGACGCCCGCAGAGCGGAAACTGCTGCTTTGTGTGTATGGCCAACTTCTTGATGAATATTGTTTAAGCTGTTCTCGCTCATGTGTGCATAGCGAAGATTGATAAATTGTCGCCAGCGATAGAGAGATTGTGACTAGTACTCATAAAATAACGTCACGTGAAACGCCACTTTTTTTTTCCTTTCAAGCAGACCCTTATAGTATGCGAGACAGTGCATTAATATTAAGTTCAGATACTGACGCTGTAAAGTTGATGTGAGGCCAAAAAATTTCACGATAACGTCGAACTGCAAACACATTGATGTATCATCTTACAGGGGCTGATTTACAGTCACAGCACAAGTAGTATTCTGTAAATTGACATCTTAGCCGGACATCTGAGCCGTGTCTAGAACTGGCTTAGCCACTGGTCGGTTGGTGGTGGTGGGGGGGGGGGTAGTGAACTTTTATCTCCTTTCCCAAAATTTTCCAATTTTTTGTAGGCATGCATATATATTCGTAATCAAGTACAAACATCCATGAAGGGTAGTTCGACCCCGACAAAAGTTTTCCAGTACTACACCCTTTGTATCAGGACAGCCTTTTTATCACTTCCAAAGTGAACAAAAGGAAATGTCTTTGGAACGCAGAGAGATGGCACATCTCTATCGCTGGAGGCGAAGTTTTGTTTTGTTTTTTTCATCTCGCCGATACATGGCCGACAAGTTAACATACTGGTCTCTTGTTTTTTTTTTTTTGTGCACCAGCAAGACGTTGTCTCCCTCGAGCACTCTATCTGCGGACGCTGCCTGCACATGTTTTCGTTCATAGCAATGATACATTTAAAAATATTCCTGGCATTTGCATATCTTCAAGCAACTAATGATATGTCTCATTGGGCGTCCTTGACACAACCATTAATCTGGCCTGCGCGCAGTACAATGACTATGGAGAGGGTAATCGCGCAGATCCCTTTCGCTGCAGCATTTCGTGCACTTCATTTGACGTGCCCCTCCGCGGTGGTCTAGTGGCTAAGGTACTCGGCTGCTGACCCGCAGGTCGCGGGTGCGATTCCCGGCTGCGGCGGCTGCATTTCCAATTGGAGGCGGAAATGTTGTAGGCCCGTGTGCTCAGATTTGGGCGCACGTTAAAGAACCCCAGGTGGTCGAAATTTCCGGAGCCCTCCACTACGGCGTCTCTCATAATCATATGGTGGTTTTGGGACGTTAAACCCCACAAATCAATCAATCAACTTCATTTTACGTGCATCGTTTCGCACGTACCGATACACCTTGTTTTTTTTTTCTTTGTCAGATTAACTGTTTTGCGAAAGATTGCCACTGCATGATAGATTTGTTAGAGGGAAATGTGCCGGGGGCTTCTGGCGCTATCTTCTCGAGATTAAGCGAAGCTTTGGTATTACAGGAAGGTCTCGGGCGCACCTTATCGACGATATTAGTTATAACTACGTTCTACTTGCAGTTACTATCTGCAGCCAAATAATCTTATCAATTCCGACAGGCTTGGCAGATGCGTGCTGAGTAGGCTATACTGGTCATTACACAGATCATCGTTTTAGGAGACGTGTTTATTTCCGAATGGCTGAAATAGTCATTACCAGCTTTTTTTCTGCATTTTTAAAGTAATAAAACTGTCAGCGGGTATTTCGACGAGGATTCTCAGATAAAACGCGCATTCTACGAACATGGCGTAAGAAAAGAGATATGACCGATTGCTGAATGAGAACAGAGGAGGCTCGTACATGCCAGTACTCCCCAAACGCATCGACAATAAAATCCGTGTATAATTTTCTCACGAGATAGCTGTGGCGTCCGCTTTTCTTAAGGAGAAGGCCTGCTTGTTTCTTTTTCTTCTTTGCAACGTTCGGGAGATAATGTCAAATATGTTAACTATGTTTCTATGACCAGCGAAACTACTTCCCTACCTATCTATATTCAAAGATGGCCAAGTATTCAATTCACCTGCGTTGGTTTCTCCTGTGTCACATTACGATGACCTTCACGAATACTTCACTGCCAAATGTGACCGGCCTGCTTTTGGTAAATAAATAGATAGGACGGCATTTATTATTTAATTCGTGAAGTATGCAGCTGATTCCTTCCATGTTATTTTGCGCGATTCCGTTTTTTTTCCTTCTTATTCTTCTAGATTTAGTTCTGTCACGTTTAGAAAAGCATGTATTTGTATTTGCGAGTAATTGTCTAATGTAGCGTACTGAGTATGGCACTTTTGCTCCCGCATTTGTTATTAGTCTCACGAAGTCAGTTCTTATTATATCGGGGCGTTTTTTTTTTAAATACCGCTTGCTCAGCGTTCCTCTTCTGTATACCTGTATTTTGTCTGAAACAAAGTTATTAGTGAAAACTTTCGCTGCTACATGTATTATGTCGCATTAATGCGAGCAGTTCAATACTTTGCCAGAAAATGTATCGCCATGTATTCTATAAATATTTGTAATTGAATTAATTATTAAACTGATGACGAATACAGCTCCTTCAATCTATTGTTCTGTCTGTATTCACATTTTTGTTTTTCATGTTTGGTATTGCTTTTTACGTTAATTGCGTCTGTGGGGCAACCATGTACTTCTCTATATGAGCAGTCGTATAATACAGCGCGCGTGACTATGCTATACATTTGCTCCTGAACTTGTCATTAGTTGAACTTAAAATGTTACTCTTCTTTTTGTGTACTGTTGTAATCCCGCTAACTCGTTGTCCATCTACCTGCACGCGCAATTGTAAACTTGGTGAAATAAAGATACACATGAAAACCAGTGGTGTAGTACACGTTTTTCTGAAAGCCGAACGAAAGCTCGTGCGTCCTTCGATCCTTCCCCGAATTCAAACGATTTCCCGTTGCAATCACAACGCTGGAACGTCTCGTTACATTCAGACTGCATGCGATTTTCTTTTTAACTCAACATAGCCTGCAATAATCGCGACTCTAGATGAACTAACCATTTTAATGGTTCAAGTTTGATACTGCCTGGAGCAGGCTATATGAAGTGAACTAAAATTTTAAGGAAACGCTCTATGGGTTAACTCTTTTTCATGGCGCCTCACATACTTGATTAATTTGTAACTGAAATTTTCGTGCTCTTTCGAGAGACAGAGAGAGAGAGAGAATAACCATTTCCTAGAGAATGTATATACGGGCCCCCAGTTCAGGGCTCTATTTCCTTGCGCAACACTTCGAGCCGGCTGGATCAGCTAGTGCAGTTTCTGCCGGCGTAAGATGAGCAGTGCAGACTTTCAAGAGAAAAAGGGTGGGATCGGGGATCAGAGGAACATTCCGAGGAGCACAGCCTTCTCACGTAGAGTGGTATACACGGTCGGTACAGATCCACGTTGGTATTCGTACGAGCCGTCAGGTTGCAGCGCTACAGATGCTCAAGTTTATAAGAATGGAAGCTATGAGCGTATGTGTATGGGTTCATCTTGGTTGAACAGCACGCGTGGGACAAAGGAAAAGAACACAAACAAGCGGTGACTCGCAGCTAACATTTATTAAAAAAAACGGATGATGTATAGGTGAAGTGCCACTTAAAAGAAAAAAAATGCAAGAACATCAAACAGCAAAGACGGCCTAACACGCCACAAGCAGGATTAAAAAAAAATGATAACACTGGTATCATCTTTTGCAAGTGCAAGAAAGATAGCTAAATTCTGGGTCGCTCAGAGCAGCTGACGGCATGCTGACACAATTCTTTGTTTCCTTCTGATGTGGATGGCTTCAATCACTTCTCTTGTTAGGCGATTCCTCTGACGCGACAGTATCATGGTGTGGTTGAATAAGGGTCGCCGCTCGTTGACGCGAATGCGGCTGCGTACTCAGACAAGATAAAAATGTAAGGAAGACGTCTTTGTTCCTTTCGCGCGACCAAACTTGTTTCCTTTTGCGGTCGTCCTAGATAAAAGACAAAAATAAGATACAGCAATGGCTGCTTATCGAAATAGTCTTTGTCGAAGCTAAAGAAACACAGCAATCATTGCAATCTCGGATGTGCATGCGCCGGATGCAGTATGCGCAAGATGACAAGGTCTGCTTGAATCATCTGTGAGCCTTCCGTGGCCTGAATGACTGCCATGCTTAGTGTGAATACTTGTCCCTCCCTTTGTAGGCGGGAGTGTTGAAAACTTTTTTTCGTCGTGTAAAAGGGTCTACACAATGTCTAAACGCATCACCTCTTCAGATTTGTCAGACCTTTACCGAACCTACGCAAAGGGCACGAACTCTCGGTTTAATGGTTTGGCGAGTCCTACGAACGTCGCAGTCGAGCAACACTGGTAGCAGGGAGCGTTGCGGAGCAGGTTGCCTCTGTCCTCAGGATCGTCCTTGCTGCGCACGAGCGTGAGACTCCGTTCCACGCCGTTCAAAGTCAGGTAATGGTAGTGGAGAAACCGTAGACGAGGAAGAGCAGCCGCCAGTGCACGGAAGCAGGTCTCGGCGACTTCGTTAGGACAGGAAACCGTCGACAGCAGGTACAGGTACAGCAGGCTGTGGACGCTCGAAAGCATGGCCTGTAAGCAAAGGACAATGATCGATTGGCCGCTATCATAATCAAAGCTTTGAGGAATGTAAGGCCAGAAGCCTGGAATGCGCGACAAATGTATCACACTTTCTTAAGTAGGGCGGCTGCATTTCCGATGGAGGCGGAAATGTAGGCCCGTGTGCTAAGATTTGGGTGCACGTTAAAGAACTCCAGGTGGACAAAATTTGCATGTGCAGCCGATCGGGGAACAAAATTGCTCGCCGGCACGAAGACGCTTGCCAAGCAAACAGCTTGTTACAACCCAACTCATGAGTGCATCAGTGTTGCGCGACATCTCAAGCCTCCCTCGTGCTTACAAAAAAAAATGTTCAGTTCTAAATGAGTGGTAGGACCGTACGCGAAAACTCTTCGCCAGCTTGCTATGTGAACGTACTTGGATTAATCAACATAATAGCTTACAATGAAAATTGGTGTGTCATATGGCTCTTAAAATAAATAGAGTGGCATTCAGGGCATTGCGGCATCAAAAGATACTTGCATAAAAGAAGCTCACCAACACAGAGGCGTCTTCAATGTCTATACTGCCGTGCCGAAGAACCAGGCAGGTGGGCCAGCATGTCTCGGAGAGTACCTTAGCCAGATGCTCGTAGCGCGGGCTCGAGGTGCTGGCGCAACCGGAGAGTCGCACCGTAGTGGTTGGCCCGCAGCACTCGATGAAGTGCAGGTCCACAGGGAACCTGATGCCAGACAGGGTGAGCCGGTCGAGCCGTTTCTGAAAGCCGACAGTGCCTCCGGGAACGTTGGTCGGCGCGTCAGAATCCAGGGGAACGCCCACTTCGCAACCGAGACAGCGGACCAAGCCGCCATTCTCGTAGCGGACGTCCAGTTCCCCGAAGTGTGGGCAGTGTTGCGCCAGAAGGCGCAGAGCCGACAGGCGACGCAGACCGCAAGGGGTCGCCGAAAGAGACTGCAGGAACCGTAACTTTTTCAGCGTGGCATCCTGAAGCAGTTCTTTGACGTCGAGGCCAGCACCAAAGTGGAAGGAGCTGATGTTGAGTTCTAAGAGGTACCTGAACGAATCTGTGAAGAAAAAGAGAAGGCTATCGCGGTACACCAGGCCCGCCTGCGGGTAAACGACGCTCGAAGGGTCATCCGGGAGCAACACAAAGCACACACGATTGGTAAACGACCAGTCGTGGCCACGGAAGGCCGTTAGCATCAGTTCAGGGGTGAGGTTTCTGCGTTTGGTGTGAACGGCAACTACAGTCGCCTGATTCGGCATGCGACGGCGCTCGCCGGAGTCCTCAGCAAGATGGTGAAACGTGAAGACAGACATGATTCCGCCAGGCCTGCGGTGCTCGACGTTGGCGCACACAGAGATGCAGTTAAACAACCCCAACGGCGAGACGAGTGATTGGCAGTGCGGTGGCTGTTCCGAGGTGAAAGTGAATTTTTCCAGACGTAATGCCTCTTCGCAGAGGGCGTTCAAGAAGCTGCCGCGCAGGAAGTGCACGTGGAGGTGTTTCAGGTTCACGCTTTCTCGCAGAATTGTGGCGAAAAGCTGGTAACTCGCGTCGTAGGCCATCTCCACGTAGATGTGGTGCAGGTCGGGGAGGATGTACCGGTTCACCCATACGTCCTTGTCGGGATACTCTCCCACTTCCTGGACCACCTCGCACACGAGGGTGAGCTCAAGGCGGACAAGGTGCCGCATGTGCCCGAGTATTAACGTCACCAGGGCACCAGGCTGGATCGAGCAGCTTAGGCACCGAAGTGAATTGGTGAACGCGCATTTCTTGATGATAGGAATCACTTCGTCGGTCTCTAGATGAATGCAGTTCGTTAGGTCCAGTGATTCGACTTCCAACGGCGTCTCGAACTTCCGGATCTGCAAGACCAGGCTGTCGATGCCTTGGTCGGGGGTCAGACGAACACTCATTTGCGGAACTGCGTTCTAACGCCTTTCGAGCTGGGAGAATCGTTTGTGCTCGCTAAACGATGTAGGCTTCAGCGCTGGCTGCTAAGACGGGCGTCGCGACATGCAGCTATCGAGGAATCACGCTCCTCGCGGGCATTGCATGCGTTATATCTACGTTTAACGATCATGACGTCACCTGGGAGCAGTGGCGCCGTCGTGCTTCTGGATTCAGGCGAAAGTAATGAAACACGTGTAGATTCGGCGACGAAACTATTCATGTAAGTCTGGAAACCAAAATGTATATCGCTATACTCGTCAACGGTCGCTGTCACGCCCAACTGTTTTCCTCTGAAGATCACGAACCAACGAGCCAAAATGCGTGAGACCTTATGCAAAATTGCTGCCTTCTGTCGGCCGCCGCGTGCATATGCCGCTATTTTAGAGGTTCGGGCGGGGCGCAGTACGCACGGTCATCGTGTGTTCACTTATACTTTAGGCGTACTGACGTGAGGCGTGTATTGGCTGATAATTTCAATGCCGACGTATTGCTGCGTCCCTTGCAGCTCATATAGAGGAACTTAAAACACTGAAAAAAAAACGGTAAGCCGCAAACATTGCCCTTTGTTATTTTTTTCAAGCTGATGACGTTTTCAGCATGTGCTCCGGCTACTGCTGACGAAACACGTGTTTCGTGTAGTGAGGGCGAAAACAAACAAGATGGCGAGAGCAGGAACCACCTAGTCCTTCACTTCTTCGTCCTCTAGGTGATCGGCACATAACAATATGATGAAAAGAAGATACGTGCTCAGGTGAGTTTAGTTCTTGGATTGTCCGCTAGATTTATGATCAATATACGATGAAAGGATGAGAGATGGGGGTATTTTGAGTGTTTACTATACGGACGGATATACAGACAGACAGATGCATGGCCGGACGGATGGATGCACGGACGGATGGGCGCTTCGTCCCACTCATCGTCATTCAGTCCGTGGATATGCTGTGATTTTTCATTTGCATCTTTCTCGATTTTTCTGTCACGGGTAAGATGACTTTTCATTCTCAACCAACGACACCGACGCCGGAATGATGCTGAATGAAGGTCGTGGGATCGAATCTCATCCACGGCGGCCGCATTTTCGGCTGAGGTGAAAATGATTGAGGCCCGTGTACTTGTATTCAGGCACACATCAATTAAAGAACCCGAGTCATTGAAATTGTCGGAATTTGATCCATTACGGCATGCCATAATCCCATCGTGATTTTTGGGACGTTGACACTTCCCAATGCCACGCGTCCCATATGTAAAGAAACTGACGCTACACCCAAGCACGTGCTCTGGAGGTGTGAGAGGCGAGGTGTGCGAGGCGATGCTGTCTCGAACATGGGTGGCTGCAATTCGCGGTCTGCACCGGGTCAACCAACTCGAGGTCAGCAAGCCAACAACGCGACCATCGTGCTTGGCCTCCTGGTGGGAGCCCAAGATCCGCCTTCTTGCAGGGCCCCAATATAATTACTTTTCGTATTCAATCTCGTCCCTTCGGACGTAGCGCCGTTGTTGATAGAAACAAACCTTTAGCGTCAACTCGTTCTTTACTTAAGACTTTTAAAAAGTCCTTTATTCATATATTTTAAAATTCATCACAAGAATGCCATGACCTGCTCGCCCGGATCGTAATGTCACGGCCGCATTGCATCCCGCGGCCATGACCACGTAACTAAGTTACAACCTGCCCAAAGCAGCTTTAAGAGACATTATAACAAATCATGCAAGCTGTGAAACACTGTGCCCCCCCCCCTTTTTTTTTCTTCCTTTTCTTCCTGTCCACCCTGCGCGTAATATCTTTCTGGAAGCCTTGAGATATGCTTTAAAATATACATGTCTTTGGTTCTACGAACACATACCACCTTGTAATTATGGGACAGGTTTCTTTCGAGGACACCGGAAATTACACAAGATGTGTTGAAAGCGCAATGGCATCGCACATTGCACAGGACTTCGACATTTCGCTGAAATGCCACCGTCTCAGCCGGGGTCGAACGCGTTACTTGGGGCATATCAACGGAGTGCCATAGCCATGCATGTTCCGCAACGGTGGATTTAAGAGGTGCGAGTTAACGCACACATAGACACACATAATGGAACATGCTTTCTTGTTACAACAGATTAAAGAAAAACGTGGCGTGATAACAGTTAAAGCAACGACTGCAAATATAACTAGTTCCATTATTTGCTCATGTTCGTCACATAAGTACAAGTCAGGGTTGCAGTACAAGAGCGCAAGGTGTATGTACGTGAAAATGCGGCTGCATGGAAGCGTTCCGGGACCACTTCTGCTGAGCAGTTTAGGCACTTTTAGAACATTTCGAGCCAGACTATGATGCGCCATCCTTCTGTATTGTTTGTGTACATCTTTTTCTTCGATTTTGTTCCTCCGCAGTACGGCGGGCCCAGTTCTCGCCGGTAAGACGGTGACGAATGATATTGTGACGTAATGGTGCGATCAGCACTAGCTGCAACAACGCATGCGTGAATACCGAAGTATATCACCTTCAAACTGTTACATGCGGGCGGCCCATTCCGGTTGTTCACTAGCTGCTCGTCGTGCTGTTCATTTTGCAGACGTCAGTTCTTCGGCGCCGTGAAATGGCGTTTGCCACGATGTTCAGGCGCGGGGCGCGCGATAGTACACCAGTACGTTTACGAGTCGCGTTTCAACTTTTTATTTTGTGTTTATGGACTTCACCTGGACGTATGGAACTATGCACAAGGAACCACGTCGGCGGGTATATTCATTGAGGACCACTGCGAGCTTTGTCTTAGGCGTCAAATCGGTGAGCTCCATAATGTGACAAGCCGGCGGGGGGTTGGGTTAATCGAACATCGCTCGCCGATAGCTTAGTTCGAGTGACATTTGAGGCTGGGTTGCTTGTACCTTTAGCGAGTGGGTTCGTTGAACACGCCGCTACTTCACGGTCAATATTACCGGGGACGCGGGCGGGTAGACTCGGCTCGCGGTTAGTCGGGCAGGTAATGCAGGTAGCTTCTTTGTGTCCTCAGGATTATTGCACGTGACGAACTGGAATGCCCGTGGGGCCACTACTACCATTATTTCGTGCCAGTCTTGTCTAGTAAGTAATTGTGTTCGTGGGCCGTGGCACGCTCCGGTTCGGCTTACCGGCTCATTGAAGACTGGCGTGCGAATGTCAAGCGGGGGAAGCTCTTCAAGTGTGCACAACACCTCGCGTCGGAGGCATATACACACTAAACAAAAATGACCTGAAATAACCTCAAAAACTGGTTAAACCATTTGTCCTCTAGCGCACTACCTTTCCTGGGTTTTTTTTTACCACCTACTACCGAGGTAAAAATTTACTCTCGTGCTAACTGAGTTTTTGAACGTAGCGAGAGTAGTAATTATTTACCCCAGTGAAGTTTTCAGCGAGTATAGAGAGAGTAAATTTTTACTACCTTCACAAGGCTTTTGAGGTGATTACTGGGAGTTATTTCTGGTAGTAAAAAAAAATAAAAATTACGGGTGCATTCGTCCAGAGTCGACAAATTTATTGAATAGCAGAATTGATTGAATTTATTGAACGGCAGAATTGGTGACACATACATTCACATACAGACAAACACGCACACACAACAAATGCAGAATAATACACCACTAGCACAGACTGCACGTGTTGCTCGACTACACTTCGACAATCCGGTATATATATATAGGCACGACTTTTTGACCGGCAATGTAGTACCGGTAGGAGAGCTCTTTTTTTGCATCAATTAACAACAACGCTTGAAGGTGCAAGCGCAAGCTTCAGGTGGGCTGCAGGGCACTAAATGTCACACCAACCTTTTATTATAAATCTACACGATCTCACCTTTTTGATTATCCAATAATTGCTTGGCACACCGGGCTCTTTGCCCCACGCGTGTTAGCACTGCTGATGCACAAGTCCACAAAATATACCTAAGTACGCACAAAGCATGGTAGCTCAATGATTTTCATTCAGCGACGGTGCACAAACACAGTAGCAGCACGTATTCATCACAACGGGCGTAGAAGAGTGGTCCACGCCTGCATACAAGCTACTTACCGACGGCGTTCTAGGCCTTTTTGAGGAGCACGGCTATCCGATAAAACACAGCTGGCGATCACAGAACACATATCCTGTGCGAATTTCGTCGTCATTTCAGACACAAATGAACACGTCACCGCTATCTTACGGGGACGGGTCGGTGTATGCACACTTCCAACTAAAGACCACCATCCGGGTTTTCTTCGTGCTCACGGGCAGCCTCTTGTTGTTTCCGTCTGCCTCGTATCGGCTTCGCGCTACATGTTTGAGAACAGTTGGTGCATGAGGTGGGCAATTCGGGCAGCACTTTACTCATACAGACATCACCTACTGTGGAACAAAATATATGCGATGCTTCTTTCACCTGCCCCGGCGACACACTCCCACTGGTCACTGGTGGCCACGGCTCGGTGACGACGACAGAGTGAAGCATTTTGCTTATTGCTTCTCCAGCAGGCAAGCACGGACGATGACACCAGATTGATTTTGTTACCTTTGGCAGATCTTCACGATTCGGCTACTCGGAAGTGATATACCCGCGACGTGCAGGTTCGGAGGTGCTCGAAAGAGCACGGTCACTCGGTGATGTAGGAAACACGTGAGATCCAACAGCCCAACCAAACACACAGATACCTAGCTTCTTGCACTGTCTGTCTCCAAAGCCACCGCCAAGCAAAAGCAACATTTTGCGAAAATATGCAGGACAGCTTTCTACAGCAGGTTTTCTTTCTTTTTTTTTTCGCTTTTGAGAGCCCCCCCCCCCCCCGTCTTTTTTTTTTTTTCGTACAAAGAATGCTGTTCTCGCTTATTGTGCTTATGCTGCCCGCAGTTCCAGTAAAAGTGCGCTGACTCGAGGTCAGTCCAGAGGCACGGCGATGCAAAAAAAAACACAAAAAAACATCTGTGGGCTTCGCGTACCTTCAGTATTCACTGAGAGCGCCACAAGGGGGGTATGGGGCAAAAGCCGCCGAAGCAGCTGCACCTTGCAGTCACGTGGTAATAAACTCTGAAACGCAGGTTAAAAATCACGTGATAGAAAACTCCCTACGTGGTAAAACTGGATT